ACCAAGAAGGGCACGCAGGCCCGGTAAAAAAAACACTTAGAAAAATACAAATTGTTTGGCACGCAGGCCAGAATACGCGGGCACGCAGGCCCGAAACTAATCTATGCTCCTTCTTCCTCCTCCGCTTTAGGCTCGACGGGATGGACATTAGGACCAGCCTCATCGGCGTTGGGGTCGACCACTCGACCATCGATTATCTCATGGAAAGGCCCGATGCCGTCCTCGACGAGGGCGACGCCAGAGTTCACCCCCTTAAGCTGAGCGAAAGCACCATTGAAGCCCTCGGCGAAAGCCTCCAGACAGTCACCTTCCAACACCCGTATCCTGGCGAGCAGATCAGCCCGGGTAACCATCTGCCTGTCTTCGTCGGTCTCATCGTCAGCAGGACGAAGGCCACCCTCCAGCTTTTTCATGCAAGCCTTCAGTGCCCGCACTTCCTCCTCAGCGGCCTTCAGCCTCTCCTCGACGCTATCCCCCCTCTTGCGCTCACTGGCGGTCTGCCCCTGACTTTTCTCCAGCTCCTCGGTAAGCTGAGTCACCCTTCCCCGGTTCAGCTCCTGGTCCTCGACGGCCTTGTTCAAACGAGACTGCGTGAAAGCGAGGCCCCCCTGCAGCTTGGACAACTCGATAACCGAGCAACTTTCCTCGCTCAGAACCATCGTCATGGTGAAGGTCCGCATCAAGGCAGCCAAATCCTCCGTCAAGACCTGCCTACGCGTAGCCCGGTCCACGCTTAGGACCGCCTTCGCCTCCCCGACCGAAATACTGGGCGACCTGGCCCCGTGGAAATAACCAGGGTGCTGATGGCAGGGCGCGATGGAGTAACTCTCCTCGGTAGAGTCCGCTGATAAGTCGACCACGGTCTCCACCTCCTGAACTCTGGGCCTCTTCGGGGTCCCCTGGGATGTGGGCGACTGGCTGCTTGGAGGAGACGAGGACCCCCGGCCATCCTGATCAGCGGAAGCCTGCCCGACCAGCTGGCCAACCCGCGTCTTCGGAAGGGTAGCAACCTTCGATGCGTGCAACTTCTTCACCCGCTCCTCGACGGAAGACATGTTCCCTGCAAAACAAAGAAAATGAGTCAATAACAAATAAAGAGTACCAGATCGAGAGAGGGGAGAGACGTCCACCACCTAGATAGCGAAGGGCCTCCGCCTCTGAGGAACACTCGAGCAGAGCCTTTGTATTGATCAACCTCGCTGTCTCGCGGACATTCCCCTGGCTGTCAAGGATGTACTGGCCGTCGGGGGTCACCAACTTCGACAGCGGCAGGATGCGCACGAACGAGACTATCTTCAAATAGCTGGCCATGTCCTCTTCGTCCAGTGACCCTGCGTGCACTATGTACCGATCAGTCCCCCGAGAGAAATGTTCCGGAGACCATTCCACGTGCACCCGCGGCAGCATGACGGCCTCCCGCTGGCCGTTCACAGTCCGCTCCCCTTCTGAATATAAAGAGTCAACCCCCACATGCGTGATTGGGCTGACGATGAAGAAACGACCCTTGAAGTCCCGAACAGAGTCCATGTACGTTTTGAAAAGCCTGTCCGGTTGCTTGAACGACACCCAGCCGTGCCTGCCATTTACCGTCTGCCGCTGCAGATGGAAGACGCGGAAGAATAGCGGCAGCGTGACACCGACCTCGAGATAACGACACACGACCTTAAATGCCCGAATAAAAGCCAAGGCATTCGAATGCAGCTGCGGGGGGGGGGGGGGGGGCAGCCTCAACCAGTCGAAGAGGCCCAGGTGGAAGTTTGAGAACGGCAGCCTGAGCCTGGCCTCTTTAAAATAGAATTCGTACATCGGGAACCGCATCCTCCTGTACTTCGAGCATATTCAGTGGCCCGCCCGAGGACGATAAACTTTCCAATTCTGGGGGTCACCTTCTCTTTGGTCCTCCACGGTGGCAGAGACTCCCGTCGGGTCAGAAGCGAAACAAGAAGGCATGGACAAAGGCTCCTCGGCCACCCACTCCTCGAGGGGAAGGGCGCGCTCGTCGAAGTATGGAACGTCCGGTTCATTGTCCTCGACCATTGTCCCCGGGACCAACGTAGTCATTAACACCTGAAAAGTAGAAGGTAACTGTGAATTCAATGACAAAGATCAAATTCACCCTTCCACCGCAAGTCAAGTGAAAGGGCGACGAGGACAAACCGAGCATCGTCCCCGGTGGCTCTACCCAAAACCTACCACCTCCCCGGGGCGCATGCATAACCTAACCTACACGTTCTCCCCGAGGCGTTCATCAGAATAGGCGTCGCTCCCCGGGGCATTCATCGGAATTAGCGTTTCTCCTCGGAACGCTCACGGTAAAACCCTAGAAAATCCCCCTACAGCGGCAGAGATCCTCACCTCTCCTCGGGGCATTCAACATGCCCCGACCACGGTTCTAATACAAATGAGAAAAACGAAAGAAAGGAGAAGAGAAGCTTACTATATTTCGATCTGCGGCGGAGTACGTGACGACTGCTGCGACGGAGAGATCAGACGGTAGCGAGGCGGCAAGTCAGAGAGTTTGAGAGCAAGAAGGCGAAAAGTGGAGAGTGAGCGGGGCTCGCTTACTTATATCCCAGCACGAGACTCGAAGCATCGCTAGGCACTCGAGTACCCTAGGGTAGCCGCCCTAGCGGCCACCCAGCGCATGACACGTGGCGAAGGCTGACAGCCGCGTCCCCTCACATCTCCCCGTCAACACGTGTCCTTAAGCCCGGGCACCCGCCGACGAGGAAGAACTCGCGTACTCGCGTCCCCGCGAAACACGAGCTGGAGGGTTTTCCTCCTTGGGCTAATCTCTCCTCCCCGACACAATGTCATCAAGTCCTCGCTCCCTCCCTCGGAGCTACGACTTTGGGGGCTCCTGTTCTGGCTTGGGCCCCGGCTTGGCCAGGCAGGCCCAGCCCAATAATATTTTGCCAAACCCAGTCCAGCTTGGGCCGCAGCCGTCGAGCACAGGGTCCCCGACGGGCAGGTAATATCCCTCAGCGGGCAGAACCTACCTCATCTGTGTCGAGCATAAGAGTCCCCCATCGACCAGACACTGCCCTCTCCGCGGGCAGAACCTGCTCCCCTGTCGGGTAGGACAACGTGTCCTTCACACGTTCTCCACGTACTCCCCTCCGCGGGGACACGTCACCAACCAACTGCCCACCTCCGAAATAGCAGATCAAACCCACTTTCTGGAGATCTCGGGACAGTTGGACTAGGGCGAAGACCACGTCCTGGTCTTCACTGCCACGTAAGGCCTAGCAGTCACCTGGGTTGGGCCTAGCAATCCAGTCCAACACAAGTGACCGTTGGCCCAGCGCTGGGGTCTCTCTATAAATACCCTCTTTCAAAAGAGGGTCAGGTAATTCATTCCTTACCCCTTTTATATACTTGTGATCACTCTGCCCGTATGCTTACTTTAGCATCGAAGTGTCTTGCAGGTACACCCCTCTCATCTTCTTCAACACCGGTGAACAGACAGCAAGCCGAAGACGCGTGACAGCCATCGATCCCCTTCTGATCAGGTCAGATCACTAATTAAATTCTAATTAACTCAAATTAATTTATATTTACAAAAAGGAAAATATTTTATAGAAATGTGTAAATAAATATAAATGTATTCATATAAAATATGTATTGTTGTCCCTTATTAATGCATGCATAAATGTGCCTTAATGGTTGTAGATCAACAACTAATAGATTAGTTATTAACAATTTGTTGATATTTTTTTTAGACTAATACTCGGTTCACTATTTTCTAATTGGTGCGAATTTAGAAAAAATCTCTATAAATAAAACATATTTGTCTTAAAAAAAAATTAAGTAATTTTAATGGGAGATTAAAATTAAAGATTTTTCATAAAATAAAGGATAATACAAAAGAAAAATCTATATTAATTGATTGATAACGAATTCTTAAAAAAGAATTAAGTAATGAGAGATTAAAATTAAAGATTTTTTATAAAATAAAGGACAACACAAAAGAAAATTTTATATATATTTGTAGATAGTTTTTTTTATCGAATGTGAATAACTTATAAACACTTTTTTTAGATCAATATTTACCTTTGAAGATTTTCAAACGATGAAAAATATTCTGTTAAAATTGAAAGTGACATTTGAAATGAAAATCAAATATTATAAAATGTTAACGAATGTAGTTGAAACACTGATTGAAAAATTTAAATGATAAGTTGAGCATAATTATATTAATTAAAAAATATAGTTTTTTTTAAATATATGTATTAATGCTCTGAAAATAAAAATAATTATTTTTTAAAAGAATATTATAGATATTGAATAACATAATATATTTTCTTTATTAAAATTTTTTAATCAGTATTCAAGGGACATTACCATAACTCAAAACATTAATTAACATGATTATATATATATATATATATATATATATATATATATATATATATATATATATATATATATATATATATATATATATATATATATATATATATATATATATATATATATATATATATATATATATATATATATATATATATATATATATATATATATATATATATATATATATATATATATAAAGATATTTAAAACGAATATTTGCGGGAGTAATTCTTTAAATTTTTTCTATTTTATTTTTGATAACACACATCATATTTAAAAGTGACGTTTTTAGATGAAAACGAATACTTTTTATGATAAATTATTAAAAGAGAAAAATTTACATGAAAACAAATTAAAATTCTTATTTGAAAAAGAAAGAATATTTTATTTATATATTTTAATTAATAAAAAAATGGTGATCGGTTTAAGTCTGCGTATATTTAAATATTTTCCAAAAGAAAAGGAAAAAAATAAAGAGAAGAAAGGACATTTGAGGTTTGAACGTGGCGGAACAATAGCCATGCATATGAGTACGCTGGGTAATGTTTGTTCTTCCGGAATGGATAATAGTATAACTACACTACTCTTTACTGGAATGGAAATGTGGCTTTGGTTGTTAAACTGAAAGATGTTGGCATTTATTAATGTTCTTGATGAGCTCTTCAATTGTATTTTCCAACTACTTCATTTTATTTAAACGTCACCACCACAGCTCTTTTCTCTCCCTCTCGCCGCATCAACAACCTTCACCCACTCTTTTCATACGCCGGCGGTTTTGTCCGAGCTTTATTACTAAAGCGGAAAGCAGTAATAGTAACAATTCAAGTAAACGCAGTAGTTGGTGGTTCAAATTTTTATCTGAGGACGATCCGAGCGCGCTTGGTTTGAATGACGATGATTTGATGGAGCTCGGAGGGGAATATTCAGAGCAACAAGAGTTGTCCGAGGATGAAAAGTTTGAGGCATGGAAGCAGAGAGCGGAAGCAATTATAGATTTGAGGGAAGCTCAAGAAGATAGGAGGAACCAGGACCATAGGAAATGGGAAGACTGGCTTATGGAGGAAGAGGAGGATGTTAATGGTACCACTTCTTGGCAGAGGGGATTCAAGGATTACAGGGAGGAGATTCCACCGGATTCCCGCGAAGAAGGGATTGTTAAGTCTGTTAGGTCTTTCATTTTCAGAACAGAACAGGATGATGATGACATGCTTTATGAAGACCGTGTTTTCCAGTATGCTTCTTCAAACTCGGTAAGTGCATTTTTTTTCTTCAAATGTGCTAGTGCTTGCTTAATACATTCTCTAACAAGTATCTCAATTCCACATACCATTGTTGTTATTCCAGGCTAAATTTTTGGCAGTGTTGATCATTATACCTTGGGCAATGGATTTACTGGTTCATGACTATGTGCTCATGCCTTTTTTAGACAGGTAATTGTGTGAACTCAACTTTCTTACTCATATCTTATATTTTTGTTCTCAATTCATGAAATTGCTTTCCGGTTGAAAAGTTTTATTCTGCTCTGCAAAATTGCTTGAAGGCATTTTCACAAACACCTGGAAGTGATAAGGAAGATGACCAGTGGACTGGATTGCATATTTTATAATGCTCTAGTGAGGCAGAAGTAATGAGGTGTATTAGGTTGCTCTTCTTGAGGAGACTCATACTGTAGTGAGGCAGAAGTAATGAGGTGTATTAGGTTGCTCTTCTTGAGGAGACTCATACTGCAAAGGACTATCACTTGTTACTGAATTATAACCAACTAGGAACTGCTAAGTATACACTAAAAAAGAAGAGTTCAAGATAATGGATATAGCTGATGTCATAATACAGTACAAAAGAACATAGTAGCTTATAGCTTCTCTTATAACCATTTCTATTAAAGCATCAATGGTCATTTTACAACCATTTCTTATGGGATATGAAATCTGTACGTTGGTACGTAGCATAATTTTCTTTTTGGAGCAAGCTTATACGAGGCTTATACCAAATAATACTCTCAGAATTTGGGTTGGGCCTAACTCATCTCTACAAAACCAGCTTGTAGGGTGAGGATTGCCCCCACTTATAAGGACATGTCCAGGCCATATATTGTCCGATGTGGGATTCTTAACAAATACGTGCACCAATAAGTTGACGAAGTTGTAGTATATATTATCAAAGTTTATCTTATAATGTCTAATAAGACATGCCAAACAGCCCTAGGAAAGATGACGATAGATGAGAAGAAATATTCGTTCTGAATATCCAATATTAGCACCTCTTAGTTTTCATGATTTTTATGTAGCTAAGTTTTTTATTTTATGAAGTATAAACAAACATATTACTTTTGCCATTTTTTATGCGTTCTTTGTTCTTGAGTATAAGTTATTTATTATTGATCTTTTACTTGTGGTCTGTTTAAACTTTTTTCCTTTGCCAGATATGTAAAGACTGTACCACTCGCCGCCCAATTGCTTGATGTGAGAAAATGTCAAAAACTTGAAATAATTGAGGTATTAAAAACTGAGAAAGGACGATTTGAGCTTGAGGTAGAGATTGGTAAATCTCCCCCTCTTTCTGATAGCGAGGTTTGGTGGGAATTGAGGAATAAAGCGTAAGATCAGTACTTCTCTGTTTTTCCTGATCATCTTAAAGGGTTCTCTCCCCTACTGTATCTGTTTGTAGAATGAACATGAAGTAGTACTTTGAATTCAGGAAAGTCCAAATTAGAAATTATTAGATGCTGTTATTCAAATTGGGCTGTATGCTTGTACAGTATAATGTAAATATAGCAAATAGGTTAACACGTTTGTGTTTAGTAACAAAGCTTTGCTGTATATAACATAAAAGTTCACTCATATGTTCTCTAACTTGTATTTGCATTTTTGCAATAGAAGATATGAAAAAGTCTTATTCTTATTTTAGAATATCTCTTAATAGCAGTAGCTTCTTATCTTTGATATCTAAAATTATATCTTATGATTAGTTTTATATCTTTAAGTATTATAGATTATCTCTTAGTATTACTTTCCATGTTTCTTTATTGTTATCATGATTTGTTTCCCTATTTGAAGTGCCAGTGCTTAGTGTTTATATATTGTCTTTCAAACCATATTCATAATGTAAAAGTCTTTGTTTTCTTTCTCTTTTTTCTCTCCTTCTCATAAACTCTAAAACTTCAAGAGAAATAATCATGCTAAAGACTGTGCACTGTCCTTTAAGCAAAAAGAGAATAAATCTAGTCTCGGACTTGTTAGCGTGTTCTTATGCTATCGCCTAGCGTTATTTGCTTAAGATGACCTTGTTAATCTTCAATTGTTGTATACTTGTTGTCTTATTTCCCTTCTATTTTTTGCTCTGACAGATTAGAGTTGAGAGATAAGTGGAGACTGGAGAATCGCAGTGCATTTGCCAACATGTTCTCAGATACAGTTTTCGGGATCTCTTTATTTATTCTTTTGTACTTCAATAAGAGTAAAGTAAGTTCACATTTTTTCTTCTGCTAAATGTTTGTATGCATTGCCAATTTTGTTGGACGTGTTTTCTACCATAAATATCACTGTTATTTTGCGATATATCATTACTCTATGTTGCTAGTCCTAGATAGTGGAGCAGGCAGCTTCAAAACTTGGATGCACAATGACTTCCATTTGATACGTTTAGGAAATATTTGGTCTGCGAATGGCTAAATAAATGCTGTTTTAGGTCTTCAATATCTTGATCATTATCTGTAATGACAAGATTAATTCCTTTGTTCATAGATGAATGTCTAAAGAATACATAGTTATCTTCTAAAGTTCTAAATAACTTTATTTAATTTTCAAAGTCAAGCTTGAGGGGAATCTTTAAAACTGTAAATTGATGCATGTAACCTGCAAACATGGCCATACTCTCCCTGAAAAACAAAACTAGTTCTCTTCTGCTAAGTCTCTACACAAAAATATATTTTTAATATTAAGCTACCACAAAGGCCAATGTCTCACTTAAAGCCATTAATAGAAAAAGCAAACTAATACCATTTTTGCAACTGGAGAGAAGGTATCACTATAGTCTAGACCATAAACTTGTGTGTACCCTTTAGCTACAAGTAAGCGTGTCAACTGGTTTGCAATCTCTAAGACCTGTCTCCTCCAAAATATCAAAAGCATACTTCCTTTAAGAGATAACAATTTCAGGCTTTGATTGAGCTACCTCAATTCTAAGAAGGGAACGAATATAACCCAATTACTTAGTATGAAAGTTATGAAATAGATGCTGTTTAAATGCTTGATACACTTATGATCATCACTTGTAATCACAATGTTGTCAACATAATCCACTGAGGAGATATGTTTATTTGATGATCAGTACTTAATTAAAGGTGAGTGATCTTCCTCATATTATGCGTGAAGCTAGCTCTGTCACCACTCCCATGCAGACCTCCTGCAAGCTAACGAAAACAGGCTCAGGTGTAATCAGTGACTGATCCTTATATGTACATGTCAGTTGTAGGTGCAATGCAGTATGTTACCATCACTAGACCTGGCATTTCATACTCTGTCAACAAGGTTTGTCAGTTTATGGCTCATTCCCTTGAAGCTCATTGGATGGCAGTCAAAAGAATCCCTGAGGTATCTCAAAGGAACCATTGATCATGGTCTGCTTCTTTCATCTCTTCCAACCATATCTTCTCCTTCCATTCAAGATTTTCGTGATGCAGATTGGGCCTCTGATCCTGATGTCAAAAGGAGTACTTCTGGTGCAGCTATCTTCTTTGGCCCTAATCTCATCTTTTGGTGGTCTAAAAAACAAGTAGTTCCTAGATCTAGCACTGAAGCTGAGTACAGAAGCCTTGCTCAGGCAACTGCAGACCTCCTCTGGTTTAGACCTATGAAACACGAACACCTTTAGGAGTAGGCGTGTCGCCGTGTTCAACACGTGTCGGTGTTTGACACTTGAATGACACTCGTACGACACGTGTTAGAAAAGTCAGACAAGTGTTGTAGAAGTTAAACAAGTGTCTTCAAATAGAATGGTTTTTTTCTTTGCTTTGACACTCTTTAAATTGGTGAGCGACACCCATATGACACTCATACAACATGTGTCAGACAATTCAGATAAGTGTTTTAAAAAGAATTTGTTTTTTCTTTACTTAAAAACACCTTGCTTAGGCTAGACCTCCTCTGGTTCAGACCTATGAAGTACGAACACCTTTAGGAGTAGACGTGTCACGGTGTCTGCACTTGAACGACACTCGTACGACACGTGTTGGAAAAGTCAGACAGGTGTTGTAAAAGTCAAACAGGTGTCTTCAAACAAAATGGTTTTTCTTCTTCTCTTTGACACTCTTTAAATTGGTGACCGACACCCATATGACACTCATACAACATGTGTCAGACAATTCAGACAATTGTTTCAAAAAGAATTTGTTTTTTCTTTACTTAACACACCTTGTACATTTTTTGGACAAATCTCACACACATCTAAAAGGGTTAAACATGTATTGAAATGATATTATCAATGAAAAATTAAAGACATTAATTTTAATTAGAATATTTTTAACTCTTTTAATAATAGGTGAAGAAATGAAGCTCAAATACTATCATATATGTAGCGGTGTCGGTGTCTTTTGTTTTAACATTATTGGTGTCAGAGTGTTTGTGTCATGTCTTGTCCCGGTGTCCGTGTTAAAGTCAATGCTTCATAGGTTCAGACTCTTCTTAAGGAACTAAGCATCTTCTCCAAAGCTTCTACCATTTTCCTGTGATAACCAGTTTGTAGTACTATTGGCTCATAATCCCATCATGCATTCAAGGACTAAACACATGGAAATAGACCTCTTTTTTGTCAGGGAAAAAGTTATGGCTAAGCAGCTTCAGCACATTCCTAGCACTGATCAATGGGTTGGTTCTCTTACCAAGCCCTTGCCATCCACCAGATACTTAGCTCTTAAACACAAACTCAGGGTTATTCTTCCCCATAAGTTTGAAGGGGTGTATTAGAGAACAGTTAGTGTAATACTGTAATTCTTGTTAGCAAATGCCTAGGCCTCAAGATTGACACCTGTTGGCTTGATTGTAATAACAAGGAACCTGTTATAGCAGGTTATCAAGTCATCTGTTTTGCCAAGTATAAAAGAAAAACATATCCCTTTTTGTAACTAACTAACATTTCAGAAATCAAAAAGTTAGTTAGAGAGTAAAGATGAAAATCTCAATTCTACCTACTGATTCTAACACCTCACAACAGATCATCCCAAATTGTTGTAGCACTTTATTAAATCTTCCAAACTATGTCCGAGGTGATTGATCCAGAAGGAAATAGAACAAGCTCCCATGTATGGATAGATTCTAAAACTTACATTTCATCCGTTATTGTTTGTCTCCACCGTGAATGGGATAATGCTTTCAGAGTAGTCTTAGGAATAAAAACAAATGAAAATGCAGAAACGAAAGCACAATAGGCGAGAGAAAAACGTTGGTATAACAAGAGATTTATAAATAGATACAGGCTAGCAGTTGTACACTTACCTTTGTGTACTGTAACAGGAAAATCAATAGTCACAGGTAGAGCCAAAGTAGGTGTGGAGACACTTAGAGCAAGAGCTGAAACGTGTGGTCCAAACCTTCTCTCATAGGTGATGCCATTCCAATTCAAAGGTGGTGGAGACTCAGAAGAAAACCCATTTGGTACTTCAGAGGGAACATAAGATAGAGGATTGGATTCAACAAACTTAAATAGGAAATAGGCAAAACCTCATCCAATAGGTGTAGTATGAGAGAGACAAACTGTAGAGTTACAAGTATGAGCTACAGCTGCCGAGGAGGTGACATGTTGCCTTCAACTCCAAATACTCTTTGTACTCATTCGTAGAAAAAGAAGTTTCAAATTCTGTCTTCGGCGCATTCTCTGCAGAGGATTGAACAACATTAGCAATTTTGCTTGGAAATCCACGCAGACTAAAACATCGATATTGAGCGTGCCTATCTATCCCACAAGAACTACAATGGAGGTTACCTCTTCCATGTCCTCAACCACAATCTCGTCCACAACTCCACTACTACAGTCACTAGAAATAGAAATAAGAGCAGAGGATTCAGAGGAAACTCGGATAAGAGGATTAATAAGCTCTTCAACCATAGGGATGGTGTTATTTGTCAAAGTTTGATCTCAAACAGAACCATAATCCTCAGGAAAACCGTGAAGGATATATACACCATGAATACATTGTCAAGCTTTGCTAATTCGTCCTTAAGATTATCACTAACCAACATAAGCTTTAGGCCATTAAAAGTAGACTGAGCTCGAGCCAAATATTCAAATAAATCTTAATCAGTCATTTGAACGGTTGACAACCTGCATTGAGATTCATACAATCTCTAAATATTGTTAGCATAAAGGTTTTTAGCCTTATGCCAAACTTCATAACACTGTTATATTGGAATGGTTTGTTTAAATGAACTTGATGACACAATAGTCTAGAAAGTTATCCTCAAAATTACCAACAGAGTAGTAACCTGGAAAGAAATGTATATAAATTAAAATAAGGTAACCAGTGAAACCAAAAAGGAGAAATGGAATGGTACCCTTTCTGTTTGGAAATGTTGGAATATTAGAAAGATCATTGGTAGATATGGGAAAGTTTACAAAAGGACACGTAAGAAGATTCAGTAGATTTGGAAAATCTAATTCTGTTAGTGCCGCACATGGCAGAGCCACGTGGCAATCACAGAGTAGAGAGAGAATATAGATCTGGGGAAATAAATGCTAAGGAATGTTCAGTGTGTCAGGCATACATGATTTGAGTACTAAATTTCCTTAGGAGAGCTCAGGCCTCTCGAAGTGCCTCCCCCATTTTCTTTTACTTATTTCTTGCTGCTTTATCTGTACTAGCTAGATCCTATTTGAACTCTAGCAGATTCTTAATCATTTTAATCCCAGCTTTCCTATTTTTTCATCATTGTTTACTGTTGATATTTCTGACATGCTAAATTGATCCTATCAAACATATATCTTAATCTTATATTAACTAAGTAATACAGAAACTAATGAATTAAACTACGATACTCCAACCTAATATTAAGATATTCTAAGATACTATCTTATATTTTATAGGAACTATCCTATGAATTGATAAATAAGAGAATATGATTTGCATTTGTCACCTAGGGCAGGACAACTTTTTTTGAAAAAGATTAGTAAAACCAAATATCAGAAGTTTAAATCTTGTATAAGGTCAATTCTTTCTTTTGGAACATCTTGATTGAATTAGCGCTAATGAAATTGTTAGTTGTTGATGGAGACCAAGAATAACTATAGTATGGCATAGTTCCATAATTAGCAGGATTTGACTCTATTTGGTATAACACAATTTTGTCTCCACAGTTTACTATAATTAGGACATATTTGGTCTGTACAGATTTTGTTCGATACTATTTCCTTATAATTCTTTAATTAGATTAGATGAGATATAGCCTGTGTACATTTATAGCTTGTGCAGTTAGTACTAATATTTGTGCATCTGATTGGAGCCTGACACTCTTATTTTTTATGAGGCTTCTTTTTTACGGCAGATGATTTTTAGTGTTGCATATGTCTTTTGCATATATCCTAAGTTTTCTTATTTTGTTTTTCGGTGTTCACTAATAATTTATTATGTACTTAAATTATAAATATTAATTATCTTTTATTTTGTTTCTTTGCTCATATTGTGCAGGTAGCTTTACTCAAATTTGCTGGTTATAAAATTATAAACAATATTTCTTATACTGCGAAGGCGGTTATTCTTATAGCTATAGCAGATATTTTACTAGGGTAACTTCCTTTTCCATCTTGGTAATTGTTATCTATCACATAAATTTTGTTTTCTAAGTAATGCTGAATGTTGCCTGTGATATCACTTATACAGGGTATCCAAGAAAGTATTATAGCACTAGGAACAATACTATTACTTTTAACAAGTTAGGAAAAAACATTTTGTACGTGAAAAGGAAATATTTTTGTGTTAATGATCAGCTTTGACTTCATTCACTTCATTCAAAAAGATTGTTTTGACTGAACAAAAGATTGGTCTGACACAGGCAAATTAGAGGGCCGAGCATTGGCCAGTTATAGAAGATTAGGATGAAAGGACACAGTTGGGTCAATTTGGTTTATTTGGGGGGACACATTTAAGTACTTTTCACCATAGGTTTACTCCAAGGCATAATGTCCCAAAGCTGGTATTCTTGTGCAAAATTTCCCCCCTGAATATTAGTTTGGGATAAAATTGTTGATTGTCAAAGATGTAACATCCATTGAGTTGGTAAAATTTCTGATAATTGGGGAATAGCATTGTATCCCTTTTGACTTGTAGAATAACCTTCAAATATCCATTTGAGAGCCCTTGGGTCAAGTTCAATAGCCCGCTGGTGGACTAACACAACACAACCAAAGAATTTTGTTGGACTTAGAAGAGTAGGTAAGACTTGAGTATGGGGAAAACGTGAAATGACCTGGTGAGGAGTTTGAATTTTTAAGACTCGAGAAGGCATTCTATTTATCAAGTAGGTGGCAGCTGAGCCTGCCTCACCTGAGAAGAATTTTGGAACATGTGTGTTGAACATTAGAAATTAGCATCTTCTAGGACATGTCTATCTTTCCTCTCTGCCACCCCGTTTTGTCGTGGGGTGACAACACAAGAGGTTCGATGGATGATCACATGGCTGTCCAAAAACTCTGCAAGAGATGTTTCAAAATATTCTCTTGCATTATCAGTTTCTAGAACTTGGATTTTGGTTTGAAACTTTGAATCACGGTATTGAATTTTCAAAAAATGTGGCCTAGTTCAGACTTTTCTTTGAGAAGGAACAACCGTGTTATTCTAGCATTATTATCCACAAATAGCAGAAATCATCTAGATACAAATGATATTTTTTTATCCTAGCACAGTCAATCATCCATCCTGAACCCAAAGTCTGAAATTCACACAAGTTGGAGACAAATTTGGCAACACAATTACAATAACTAGAGCGTACTCACAGATGATAAACTGCAATCCAAATTGGGGACGTGTACTACAGATTTTAACTCTATCTTCTTAGAGAGTGCCTAAACATTGACCAATGGGAAGAGACTAGTCTTGTAGAGGATGCTCAAATATTGATTTTACCTAGAACCAGACTTACAGTACATGTGGTTACTACTTAATACATTTCATAATGATTGTTGCTGTTTTCATCTCTTTTCTATTAGAAATCGTTGATAGGATATTCTATTTACCTTGTAGGTTTCCTACTTGATTTAATTAGCCTATTTTGTTTCAACTTTCTTTGAGTTCTTGAGACTTTTGTTGCATATTGGGACGCCTACAGGTATCATTCTGAAATTGGATGGCGAGCTATGATAGAGACAATTGCCGAGCACTATGGGCTTGAAGTAGATCAGCCTGCTCTTACTATTTTTATTGGCACGTTCCCAATCTTCACGGATGTTCTCATAAAATTTTGGGTATTTTCTTCTCTCTAGTTATTGCTAAATTTCATTGATTTTATGTATTTGATAGCGCTAGAAATCTGTTAAAAAAATTGGCCTCTGCCTAACAACTTGAACTTTAGTTGAATGGTCTAACTACTTATATTAAATTATACAATGCATATACAAAGGAAGACATAAAGAAATTCTCAAAATTAGGATCAAATTCAGCACTGTCTAAACTACCTAAGGAAACTATATCAAATGATAAAGAGAACAAATAACTAACAATTATATTATAATTGCAATCATATACATCACGAGATAAAAAAGTTTTTATACAAAGGTGAATGTCTAAAGAATATAGTTGATTTGCCTTACCAAAATTCTTATCAAATTGCTGAATAAGTTTCCTAAACTTCTTAATCCAAACTCTAGAGGGTTGTTTTAGAACATACAAGGATTTTGGAACCTACAAATAATGTATGAATTCCTCTTAGCAACAAAGCTAGGTAATTGCTATATATACTCTCAAAATTTGTGTTGGACTTAACTCATCTCTATAAAACTGGTTTGTAGTGTGAAGATTGTCCCCACTTATAAACACAACATAGGTTATATCTCTAAGCAATGTGAGACTAAATCCATCCCTTCAAATCCAACACAATGAAAGTGTTAGAGGCTGCAATTAAGGCAAGTCAAATGCCGCAATTAAGGATAATAGGGATAGACTGCAATTAAGATGGAAATTCCAACATATTATAAGTCACCATATAAGAGAGCATTCTTAATGTCAAGATAATATTGAGACATATTCTTATGGAAGTCATATACGAGAAGAGGCAAGCATGTGCCATTTGAGAGACAATGGAGAAAGTACCATTGTAATTCTAAGTATAACTTTGAGTGTGCCCTTTCGTTATCAATTGGCTTTTACTCAATACATTCACTACAATAGTAAAAACCCATCAACAACCAAGTATAGATTTTGTGAAAATAGGTATTTATTGATGATTTGATACAAAGTAAAAGAGGGTATATGGCCTAGGGAGCACATTCAAATAAGAAAGATTGTCAAACTTTTGATTTTACTTACTAGTAGATTGTCAAACTTTTGATTTTACTAGTGGCACGAATTTCCAATTCTGTTGGAATATTTATTTTGAGGGTTCAACATGAGGGATCATTTTTACATTCTCTGTGGCTTTTCTCTATGACCAACACATCATGTGAAAGACACTCCACATACTCACTCAAAACTTTAAAGTGATAGGTATTGGGTTCTCTTACTTATAAATTGCTCAATCTTCATTTTTCTAATTAATTGAAATTATGGCACGTAGTGGATAGATGTCGTATACGATGTCACGACATTAGAATGTCAAATGCAATATCAAGACGTCGTGACAACAGAAATAAAAATACACGACTTAAAGTAAGATGCAGGAAATAAATAACACAAGGAAGTTGTTAACACAGTTTGGTGCAACGTCACCTACATCTGGGGGCTACCAAGACAGAAAGGAAATCGACTATACTAATATTAGTTTGAAGCTCTTAAGTAAACAACATCCTATTTATAATCTTCGCACCTAATCACTACCCCTCAATCACACAACAGTGATGATAAAGCAAACAGAAGATGACATACTTCAAGAAGTAGAATGCACTCTTGCTTGAAAGCTTATGAGTGATTCACAATTACAACTCTACTAAAAAAAGTTCAGCTCTAGTATCAAGGTGATATAAGAGTGGCTCACAAACAACAATGAACAAACAAAAACCTTAAGAAAATACGGCTGCCCTCCTTATACTTTAGGTTTAGAGTCTTCTTATAAATAGCCTTTGAAAAAGTATGGACTTGATGAGCAAATCAGGCTAAATTAAATAGCACATCCGTAATATTCTGGAAAATAATATATTATTAAATGCAGATCCATAATATATTATTTCCTAAAGTTCAGATCCAAATCAAATCTTCTTCAGAAACAAATCAAATCAAATCTCATGTTTCTTTAAATGATATGTCAACCATTATTAGGAAATATTGCACAATTGGAACCAAACTTTGAGTTTCTAAAATCACACACTTCTTAGACTGTAATAAACTAGAATCAAATCTTCAAAGAATCTTTACTAATAAAACCAAATTTTCCAAAACGCGAAAAAAGATCAGCTTCAGTACCGCACCAACATGTCACGACATCTGGTACGATATCTCGCTAGAATACTTGAACAAGATCTGCTTCAGTATCACACCAACATGTCACGACATCTGGTACAACATATCGCTAGAATACTTGTTTTAACAAAATGCAGCCAATTATAAAGCATACAACCTAACATCAGTGTGAGATTTCTACCTCAGACTTGATTCTCAACACCTCCAACTCACTAGTTTTTCTCAATACTCCTCCCTCAAGTGCAAGTCTATCCACAATGCTTCCTCTCAAGTAGAAGTTATTTCATACATATACACTTATACTGCCGTTGGCATTTTTCAATGGAACGTGCCTTCTACCCACCACCATGTGGAGAGGACTTTTGATACAAGGAAGTCGGTCCTTCACTCGAACCATACTCTGATACCACTACTGGAACATTTATTTGGGGGTTCAGCATGAGAGAGCATTTCTACATTTCTTTTCAACATCGGTTTCTTTTTTTTTGTTACAGATTCTACATTTGTTTGCCTTAAAATGTTAAATTTAGGTCAATATCATCTGATATTTTTGGCTTAGTTATTTATGTGTTGCAATATTACTGTTAAGAGTCCCACGTCGAGCAATGGATGACTTGTATTTGTGTTTGTAAGTGGGTGTAATCTTCATCTTACAAGCTTGTAAGGTTGAATTAGGTACAGCCATAATTCTTAAGATAGTATCAAAGTCCCTTTCAAGATCCATTGGGCCATCTCTTATAGGTTTTCGCTATTGGTCATACACTATTTATATCTACACACCAAACTCAATAGTGTTGGGTGTGAGGGGATATGTTAAGAGTTCTACATGGGACATAACCTTCAATGTGTCCTATATAAGTTATTTTAATACTTTCTCCGTTCCTTTTTAAGTGTCATTTTTTTATATATTTTTTTTTGTTCTTTTTTAATTGTCACTTACAAAGTTCAAGGTAGTATTAAATGCAATTTTGTCAAAATTACTCCTAGATAATTATTACAAAGAGTGAAAAAATAAAATGAATGTAATTATAGATAAAAAGAGAATTATTGTATAAAAAGTAATAATATTGATTAGTTTTTTTAATGTGTAAAAAATAAAAAAGTGACAAAAGAACGGAGGAAGTATTATGTTAACTCTGTACAAATTTACAAGTCGGGTAAACGTAGACTTTTCGAGATTACCCAGACTCATGTTTTATAATCTTGCAAATAAGTTAAACAATTAATTCGTAAATCACAAGAAAGGAAATATTCTATATGATTGTAAATAAAAAAAATAATTATTCTTATGACACAGTTAATAAAGATTATTCAATGTGTTTATTATTAGTGGATTTCTTTCGTCTTACAAATCGGTTTTAAATTATATGATTGAGTTAGACCAAATCTATATTTCAATGTGTTTAATAATGATCTTTGGCTACCTTAGAAGCTACAGTAGAAAATCTTCTTGATTTTACTTCGACATTATGTTATCCTTTGACCTGAGGTCCATTATCTGATATCAATTCCAAAATCCTTTCAATATATAGTCCATGACCACCGTGTAACAGAATAGAAACCTTGCCATCGTGCCAAGCCTCAATAAAATGAAGCCTGTGGTAGGATTAGACTGTTTTGTTTGTGACATTCTGATATAGAAATCTAAAACACATGCTGCTTTTGTTTTGATTAACATTACTAGGAATGTGAAAATTTTCTGTTCTGTCAGTAACTTTGTGTAGTTGGTAATGCGTATATCACCCCTTATTGTTTTTGTGATGCAGATCTTCAAATTCCTCCCACGATTATCTCCGAAAGTGATGGTTATGCTTCAGAGACTGGGGCGTCACTAGTTGAAAATTCCATGTCCGGGATTTGCCTGAATCCTCTGGCTTTATCAATTAGAATAGTTCCAATTTTTCACCATTACCTCATTCTTGTATGCATTTATTGATATTGAAATGTCCGGCCTTTAGTGTAATGGTAACTTTTCCACAGGTTCAGCTACTGGTTCATGTTACTCTCTTTTTGCGGACTTGTGCGAGTGCATGAGTATTCTACTGGTTCTATAGTACACGGCAGTTCAAGGTGGTTTATGTGCACAAAGAGAATGGTCACTCAAATCCGCCAATAAAGCTTAAATATGTTATGAGCTCGAAATTCAACTCATTCTTCCGTTTATGTTATTGGAATATATATTTTTGTAATATGATCATTAATTGTATAAGGAGATGGAGTCTCTGAAGGTAAAAAACTTGGATGGAATCTTTTTTTATTTGAAGTCAATGTGGGCGGAAATAGGTCTGACTAAATAATAATCTAAAGTGTAGTCTACACATGTCTAGGTTAGGTTAAACTTTAAAAAAAAAATATTGTTCTTTTTTATAAATTTCTTTAGTTCAAAACTAGGTTATGTGTCATAAAAAAATCTTTTAAGTTTATTAGACCGACTTATTTAAATAATTATGAATATATTTATTATTATTATATTATATTTTGTATTTTAGATTAAAATATAAAATTAAAGTTTAATTATCTTAAAAATAAGCAAAAAATATTATGAAATTATAAGTTGTTTCATAAATTCTCTTAAATAAATAATATTACAAAAATGTACAATATTAAGTAAATTTGAATAAATCAATGTATACAAACATTTATCAGATTTATCTCATAATGTGTTAGTCTATTTATATATTAGTTGAATTGTTTATTTACAAATATTTAATTAAAATAGATTTTTAAGTAAGCTAATACGTTAATCAAACTTTTAAAAATTTAGATATAAAAAATAAGTTTTTGATAGATTACAAAGTTTAAATTTTGAATTTTTTAACACTCGACTCGGAATTAACAATGTTTAGTTTGATCCAACCTGCTTTTACCTCTAATGACATGTATATTTTGAGAGTTTCTTTTTTTCAACTTTGAAAAATGGAAAAAGTTACATGTTTTTTTTCTCTCTAAATAATTTAACAACAAAAGTCACACTATTATTTATAAAATGAAAATTTGTGAGATCGAATGTGCACCACCACTACAGCTGAGTAACTAATTTCCTGTTAAAAAGAATTACTCTCTCTATAATAAAAATTTCAAGCATTTAAAAAAGTTATTAGAGTAATAAATTTACTTGAAATGAATTTTTTTTATGCAGATAAAGTGGTAATAATTAGACTTAATTAGTGCAGAAGATTTTTAATTTAATTTTGACCATTTATTTAATAAGCATTACAAATTAGTTCTTTATTATAATTTTGTTAGCCAACTTAATTCTTTTTATTAAATTGATTGAAAAAATGTTAATTGTGGGGATGTGGCAGACAACAAGGCTTAACTTCTATTAGTAATTCAACAAGAACTTATATTAACATTGTAAGCTTCATTTTATCATTCACGCGTTTTCTCAAATTGAGTATGGTTAATATTCATCTTCTTTTGTCATCATTCTTCTTCCAAAATTTTCATAATTTCTGATAAAATGTAAATGAATTTACATTTATTCAAAATCAAACAACCAAATTGTGGGTCATTTGGATATATGGTCATAAGAAACAAGAGGAGAGAATGTTGGTTGTTTGTTGTGAAATTTGGTAAACAAAACAAGTTTGATTTTAATTAAGGGATTAACTTGAAAATATCACATGAAATATTGTGTGAAAATCATAAGTTTGAAATAGATTTGACATCAAAGTCAAAATTGAACGAAACTTAAAAGAGATGACTGAAATTAACTTCAATGCAATAAATGACTTGAAAGTAAAGACTTTATTTAATAAAATGGAGCGCACATACATTCTTATGACTTTTTTTCTCACAAACACACAGATACTTTGAGTTTACATAATTTATGTACAATTGCGGACCTCTAAAACTCTAAGTGAATGCCACTTATATAATAATACTAACTTAACCGTAAACGATAGTCAATTAAGAAAATCATATCACGCCTTCGTCTCCATGCAGCCTTCGTCTTCAATAAGCTTTCACGTGTCCTCAAATAACTGTCTAATCTTATCCATTTACACCTCATTCGATTGCGTGGAGAATAAACATTTTGAATACTTTGAATTTTATAAGTCCCAAAACCAATAAATCCCAGATCTTACTGATTGAAAATTCGACCAAAGTTAGGACCATTTCTCGACAAATCAAATTCGTCGAGATATCCATGGTCGTAACTGACCACTTTGATTTTGACATTAACCCATCATCATATGAAAAACTTATCACCTCCTTATAATCAATACTTGCGTCGAAAATCTGAGGTAACAAATTGCCACCCCCCAAAAGCCATATTTCGACTTTTCTTTGAATTAATAAGGAGAAATGTGGCATTTTTGAAATTATTTTTGACACTGTTCAAATTTTTTTGTTGACGTCATTGTTATCATTACCGCTTTAATGCAAATTGTCATTTTCCAAGAAATCTTCTCAAAAATTCATTATTACTCGTATTTTCTAGGAAATCATGGGTTTGCACGATTTCATTAACTCCTCAACTGCTATCAAATTTCCCACTTCTTGAGAAATGAAGTGTTTCACTCCAAAGACGCGTCTGCCATGTATCCGTCATTGGAAAGATAAACATCTTTATAAAGAATTTCTTCCCATTCTCTTTCAATTTTTTCACTTTTGCTTCAACATTTTACACACATAAAGAACACCTTTTTCACAACAAGCTTTCCAAACTCAACAATGGTAGCAACCGCTTCATCTTCCAAACTAGACATTGGGAAAAAATACTTTGGTGTACATGATTCCATCATCAGAAGATGACCAGGGAGATATTTCGTACCTGAACCACCAATGACAAAATATCGTCATCTGGGCTAATCAGGTACTCATTCCTTTCTCCCTTTCTGACAAACTTTTCGCGTTCTTAGGACCGTATTTGACAACTGCCACAACCTGGGAAGGTGAAAATTTTCTTCCCATGCTACCCCATCGTTATGCCTTCTACGGCAACTTATCATATTTTGAACTCAAAGTCTAGAGCTTGATAAAAAAGCAAGTGTTTACATCAGATATAAACAGGCTCAGAGATAGAGAGTGAAACAAAGAGAGACACGAGTAAGTTTATACTAGTTCCTCTCACAAAATGAGAGTAATTCAATCCCCTTGCATTTCGGGATTTCACTCTAAATCACAACTGATTACAAATTCTCAAGCACACAAGCAAGAGACTTCCAATGCTCAAACACATAAGTAAGATACTTATATCCTAAAGCACACAAGCAAGAGACTTCATATACTCTAACACACAAGCAAGAGATTTCAGATGTTCAAGCACACAAGCAAGAGACTTTAGATGCTCAAGCATACAAGCAAGAGACTTCGGATGCTCAAACATACAAGAAAGAGACTTCAGATGCTCAAACACACAAGCAAACTACTTCTAATAATCTAACTTAATCAAATAAAAGATTGTTTGAATATTACACTTGAGATATAATCATAGAAGTAAATATAACACAAATCAAAAAGACTCTTAAGACTTATGAATTTTTAAGATATTAAAATGATAAGAAATTCTAAGTTAATGTTGGGTTTTTGATTAGACAGAGTAACAGTTCTTTCGATAGTTAAGGATTCATTGATTTGCTTCAATTCTTCAAATCTTTATATATAGAGACAGAAAAGAGTCGTTAAAGAAAAAGAAATTGCGCAAGTGAGTCTTGGAGAAGCTTGATCATAGACGTTAGAATATTTCTCGATATAATTAATGTAATTGAAATGACATTTGAATTCCCTTTGCTTCAAGAGGAATTATTTGTTAAATCCCAGTTGTCTGTACATTATCTCTAAATCTGATAGTGACCTATCAGATTCTTCTTGATCATTGCGTTGGCCTTCTTCAGAGTCTGAGAACTTTAGAGGAAGTTGACCTCCTCTAGAGTCTCAGAGACTTGATCTCAGATTTTGGTCCTTCAGAGACTGGATCTTTTAGCTTCTTTTTAATGTTCATTTTTAGTGCTAGTACTAAGTTTATATCATAAATTTTAATGTATGGTCCTGCAAACTTGAACATATATTAGTATACCTAATTGTTTTTTAAATACTTAGTTATCATCAAATTTTTTAGATATATGATAAAAACCAAACTTGTTCTAACAAACTACTATCAAATAAAATTTTAAATATGCATGAGCTTCACTAGATTAGACGGGGAAGGAAAAATAGGTAATTTCGAGGGAGGACGAGAAGAAGACTTTGAAGGTGAACTATCATAACAAATGCGTCAAAATTGTTGAAGTTGAGGTCGAGATGACTAGTCTCAAGGATGCAGCAGGAAACCGTGTCACTACTGTGTAAACCCATCAGGGTGACCTCAAGGCATATCGCATGGATAATGTTCTTTTGGGGACCAAGGAATTGAAAAGGCGAACTATCAAGTTCTTTACATGTGTCCTGAGCTTGACCATGGCGAGATGAACTATTTTAAGGTTGTAAGAGTGGAGCCTGAGACAATGCTTATTCTGACGGAGAAGCCTTCCAAGCATGTGGTTCCTCTAGAAGAGGGCGTGAATACCCTAATGGGTAATTTGTCTTATGAGCCCATACTACCTAGGAGTACGTTTTCTTTTATTTCTTCGTTATGTATTTATTATGGATATCCATATCTCAGTTTTGGGGCCTTTTTAAATGTAACTTTAATCTACATTAGTTTGACATTTTACATTGTCTTTTATTTAGGTTGAATATAAGTCTTTGGGTTAAATATATGATACCCTTGTAATTTTTTTTGGATTCTTCTTGTAATGTCTAGATTCTGTGTGTTTGGCCCCTAGTTGACTATTTCAATCCAGAATCTTTTTTAAATCCTACGTGGGTGTCCACATGGTTTTTTTTA